TAATTTCAGCTTATACCCCTCCGGATACGTTCTGCGTTGCTTTTATGCTGTTTGAATTAACTGGGAAGGGTATAGGGTCCTTTCCTAGACCCCTCCGTATTGAAGTTAAGGCACTTATTTGACAATTCACACTAACGGTGAAGGGTCTTATCACTTGCCTAATTTCGACTCTATTATGGCTGTATTGTGCCTTCAGCCCTCCCTTTTTGTCTAGAACTGTCCTAAGTTACTTAGTTCAATCGCTATCAACTTTTGGTAGAGGTATAAGGGTTTTTCAGAAAAATTTATAAAACGTGAAGGGTGTACCCCTCCGGATTTGTGTAATTTGCTAAAAACAATCTCAAAAAATTTTCTCGCTCGCTTGTTCGAGTAATTCTCTTTCCTACTAGTAAGTTCAGCTAATTTCTGATCTAATTGTACCAAGATTGACTCGATATGCTCTGTAGTTCCAAAGTTATTAACCAAAACGTCTTTTTTCCAAACTCAAAAATTTTCTCTCTTATAGGTTCCGCCTAACTTTTTCCGCAAATCTGGTCCTTTCGACCTAAAAATTATTGATCTGAGCTCAGAAGGCCTATACTCTTCTAGTTCAATGCAAAAGACCCGATCTAAAACGCTTTTGTAGAAAAAATTTGCGAAAAACTATGCTACCTGGACCCCTCCGGATTGATGAATCCACCAAATCAAACACGTTATGTTCGATTTCTCTGCAACCCGGAAAGCTTTCGGGTAGCGGGTTTTAAAACTCGTAGATTCACTAGTGGACGTTGTCCGAACAACTATTTTTACTGTCCTAACTCAAAGATTTCAAAAAATTTTCTGATTTTATAGTGTTTCTGACTATCAAAAAATGGGAAAATTTGGTTTTTGGTACCAAACTAGTTCCAACCACTTCCGAACTAAAATTAACCGGTTCTACTTTTTACAGTAGTGCAGTTACAATGTAACACACTAACTTAGCGCTTTTTTCCGTTTCAAAAAATATCGATATCTCAAAAATCGCGACTTGTGGGGGGATCAAAATATCGCAATTTTGATCCTAAAAACCGGTCTGTTTTCGTTGTTTTTCACTGAAAAACGATATAAGACTATTAATATAGGCTATATAAGTAATAATATTAGTAATACTATACCCCTCCGGGTTTGTTTATTATCCGAATTAAGGTGCTTAACTCGGATATTCGCAGTTCGGTGAAGGGTCACTACAGTGCAGCACTGTCGAGCCCCCCACAGATTACTATCTTACTTTTTGTACCAAAAGGGATACAAAACTTGTTAACGATACCCAACAGTCGATTGTTGTTGTCGTTGAGCCCCTTCTTGTTGCTCCTTGTACTGCTTGCCGGATCGGTCTTCACCCAAGACCCTTCCGAATTGAGCGCAAATCAGCTGACCCTTCCGGATTGAGCGCAATTTATCATTAACGTGCTTAAATGCTCAAATAACCCTACAGTACAAGCCTCACAAACGGGCTACAAAACTGATCGTAACGATCCTGACTGATATAAATGCCTGTAATAACAATATATCTATCAACAACAAACGGGGGGGTTGAATCACATCTTGTCAGGGGGGATGATTTCTACTGATTTTTTACTTTTTTACTGTTTTTGGTTTTTTCGGTTATTTTTTATGTTTTTTTGTTTTTCTTGGGTACTATACTACTTTTTGTTTGGTTTTACTTATATCTTTAAGTGTTTTTGGTCACAAACCACTCAGGGGACGAGGGGTTCGCGATTCCCCCCACCCTTCCTGGTTCGTGAATTTTCGGTCTTAACTAAGTTAAAAAACTATTCACGGTAATCCGGAAGGCTTCCGCGTTCCGAACTACCCTTCCGCCCCGGCGGTTTAGGCCTATTAAGGGCGTTAATGTGAGCATCCGCTCGGCGCGGAGTGCTCGTTAACGGTTCTGCCGGTCATGATGCTAAAAAGAATAACACCCAGGAGCGCCATAAAAACATACATGTAACATTCGCCCGGAAGATACATATCGACGGATAACAAAACTAAGTCTTAAGACGACTGGCTAGCGTCTAAACAGAGCTTTGCATGTTTTTCACCGTCTCTACCAAGCCAGTACTTTTCGGTGGTCTTTCTTACATCGGGTCGACAAAAACGTTACTGCTCTCCGGCTTCGACCAGAACGCTCAAATTAACTGAATTACATGCAAAAATAGTGAGCTCATGGCTGGGTCTCAGTATCCCCAGACCACGAGGTCACTCCTAAAAACAGGGCTACTACTTATTATATTACTATTGTTTTTGTTCAGTAGATAAAAACCATCATCTCCATCGAAGATGGATCAACCCTTTCCCCCCAACTCCTAGCTTCTCATCCTTATCAAAATGAATCCAGTTGTTAATTAAATTCAATTCAGGACATGACAAGAAGCTAAAAGTTTATATAAAAGGCTAAAAGTTCCAGTCCCGAAACCCTTCCGGATTCTTGAATCCAGTGAATCAAGCTCCTTAAGTTCAATTTCACGCCAATCCGGAAGGCTGGTTCTCACCCTTCACCGTTGTTGGCAACGGCCTTGCAACTATTGTAGCAGCACAATAGTTGCAACTTGGAACGTTCTCTGCTATTGTAGTTCGTTGTCGTTTTTCTTCAATCTTGATTTTCGTTCTGTTCGCAATCGCCGATAAAGTTGTTCTGTTTTTCACTCGCTTTTTGTTAAAATGGCCGTTTCAGCATTTCTCAGAAATGTGACGTCATCATTCGAATTTTTGAAAATTTAAAATACTAGAATATTCTAGCCCTCACCGTTTGGCTAAACGTTCCAATAACGTCGCTAATCCTTCGAAATCATCAACTCGGAAGGCTTACTGCTCAAAATTCGAATCCTGCATAAATTGCATTTTGGCCATTCTGGTCGAATGTCACACTAATTGTTGTGATAATGAGCATTTGCAACATCTTTTGTTGTTTGCAACACGTATTGCAGCAAATGTTTTTTTTTCTGATAATTTGCTCATTGTTTTCGGTTCAAATGGCATGCACCCAATTATTGTTGGATTTGTTGTCGCTTGATAAAGAATTTTCAAAGCTTACATAGCGAAGATAATTGCGTCTCTAGTCAGTTTTCCTTAAATTGAACATCGTTGCTCAAGCTGTTTTTCTGCACTCGAGCTGTTCTGTGAGAAATTTGAGTTGAATGACGAAAGAAACCAATGCACATGGAAGCTTGAATGTGACTCCGCAATAAACAATTGTACAATTAATCGAACTATCTGAAACGAGTATATTGACGGGGCCTCGACCGTTTGTGGAAACAGAAAATCCCTACTACAACTGATATTACTACATCAGAGGCAAATTTTGTGAAGGTTTTGAAGGCGATTTTTTGTTAGATGAGATCTCACAGCGCTATTGTAGCGCTGAATCGCAAATGCTGTAAAGCTCCGCTTATCGCCTCTGTAATTTTGTTTCGAATGATTTTTTTTCTTATATTCGGGGACTCGCGAAAGTTTGTTCTCATTTGTAGTTTCCTAGTTGTGCATTTGACTTCCGCGCCGTAAGTCATTTTAATACAAAAACAGAAACTTTTCAGGTAATTTTTGGTTTTAAGAGGCATTGGTTGAAAAAAAATGTGATTGCCTAATGCAGCCACGCGCCAATATTGTTCTGATTAACATGGTTTCTGAGTATTGGACAACGTGAAGAAACACTTGTAACAGAAAATAGGATATCGGGAAGAAAACAATAGAACAGCTCAAATGTTTTTTTGCTAGTTCCCAATCTCTGAAAACTCTAATTTTTTGATGTTTTCCTAGGCGGTTTCTCATATCATTTGCTGTTGCGCTATGTCAATTGCAATATGTCAATTGCAAATATGTTCCGACCAAATTCTCAGGGATTTTTTTTTCTTCAAATTAGTGCCTTCTCCTGTACGTCGTATGTTGATAGAGCTATACATAGTGTTTAAAAGTATTGAATTAGGCGTAAACGACTACAATTGTCTTCAAAAAATAAATAAAAACGATAAAAAAAATTTCAAAAAGTTAACTTTTTTTCAATTTTTGCACTAAAATTTTCAATTATTTACGTAAGATTTTTTTGCAAGAGAATTGCCAAATAAAACTTCAAACTACGTTTTAGCGAGCTTTCTTCCAACTGGCTGAAATTTGGCGACAGATAAATGTTGAAAAAAAATGTTCACTGAAAATTGACAAATAAAATTTACCTTAATTCTGTTGACACGACGGAACAATGACTAAAAGTATGGGTTTTTCTTTGTATTTAAATAAGCTTAATCATTACTATTTGAAGGGATGATTTAATCATCAGCTCGTTGTCTGTATCTGAGATTTTTTCCAAATCCGAGCTATCCACAAAACTATGCTAACTTCGAGAATTTTACGCATGTGAAACCGTTTGCTAATACTCGCAAAAAAGTTTACCAAACTCAGAAGCATGCAATGTTTTTTCAAATAAACAATTGAATTGAAATTTATGGATAAATAACTAGAAAAAAAAAAACATTTTCAATTTTTTTTTAAAGTTATTTTTGCAGTTTTTTTTGAGTTTTTGACGGTTTTTTTTTCAAAAAGGCGCTAAAATATTTAAAAAACTAACTTCATTCGAGTAAAACTAACTTCATTCGAGTAAAACTAAGTTTTTACCGCTTGAATTGAGCAATTGTAAGCTTTTAAGCTATTAAAATAAGCTATTGTAAGCCTGCTCGCTCACTCAAAGTTAGACGAAAAGTCAAAAAATTCAAACCGATTTTTCTCGACACGGGAAAAGTGTTTCGATTCACGATTGTAAGGACTTTAATATGATATATCACTCAAATCTCTCCGATGATTGTTTGTGGTAGCTGATTTTGCGTCAAAAAAGAAAAACAAAACTAAATTACGCCCTAATACAAAGTTCCTCCCCAATTTTCAAATGGTCAGAACAAAAAGCTAAAGCACACCCGTATACAAAGTTACTCCCCGTTGTCAATGGTCGGAATAATTATCTTTGCTTCAATATTCTTATTTTGATCTTGTTATTTTAGAATGGTACAATGGCAGATAGTCAAAAAGAACAGCAAAAGGTGACCAGCATTTGTGTAATACATATTGATACATGAAGTTTTTAAAGAAATATGAAATTTTTCAGGAAACAGAGTCTTCCATGTATCGCAAGCTTGCAGAAGAGTACTCGAAGCTTAAAGCTCATTATCAGGTCTTGAAGAAACTCTTGGTAGAAACAAGATCAGAGAAAGAATCTCTAACAAGTGTTCTAAAGACCAAAGAGCAGGACATTCGCAAGTTAACCCAAGAACAGGTAAGATTGCGAAGGCAACATTTGGGTTCCTTTTGTGCAATTTGACTGCAAATTTAAAAATAGTGAAAAAAATCAATGCAGACAAAACCAAATAATTTTCAAAGACTATATTTGATTGGGACCTTAACTGGTGCGTTTTGACGGGCCTTTTATCTTCGGTTGTTACTACAGTCAATTAACACTGCTTAGCTTAAAATTGCTTCTAAATGTGAAAAGGCATTAGTGTTTAAACAAGATAACATATGTATTTGTCAGTTGTCTGGAGTTTTGAAGGACTGCAACAGCTAAATTATAAAGCAGCCTTCGATAGTTGATTTGATTTTTTGGGGGAGATTATTTTTAGACTGATTTTGTTTTGTCGAGCGTCTCCAGGTTTTGTTATGGTCTTGATGAACAACTTTTGCTGTTTCCTGGGCTCTTTTTGTCGATTATGAAGATTCCTTACGATGAAAAATTCCTTTATGTTTTTCACACTTGCGACCTGAGGTTGAGGGCACTCCAATAAACACTTAAAGTAAGATGTTTCATTATCAATTAAGATCATTTATCCACGAGGGATAGGACCAACATACGAGCTGTACAGCTCATCACGGCGAACCGCTGTTATGCCCCTGCTTAAGAACTAGATGCAATTTTTTGGTTATTTTTCTGGGCTGGGTAATGTTGCCTCACCCTCAAGCAACGAGCACGGAGCAAAACTTTACTTGAGGCGTTATAGAACAACCTTGTTTTAAAGTTATAATACATTCGGGCATGAAGTTTTGCTCCTTTTCCGTTTTGGTCTTTTGCGCAGCGAGGCAGGGTAAGATTCTAGACAACTTGCAGTGCATCATACAGGTCTTTTTTTATTAATGACATGAGGGTACAGCCCTTCTTATTAATCTAAGTTAAGATTTTTTGCATTTTGCTTAAATTTAATTGAGCATTGAGCTCAACCCTACTACTATACTGGAGATTTTTTCTGCATGGTAGCATTTCAATTATACTGTCTAGTCGAAATTTGTTTTTTATGTCGATTGTAATTTTACCAACTCGGATAGTTAAAATTTCATTTTTTCCTTTTCTTTTTTTTCTCGGTTAAATAGGTTTCGCCATTTTTTATATCGGCTTAATGGCCCCATATTGCATCGTTTGATGAGCGAAGAATTTTTATGTGTGCGTTTATCTGGGTTTTGAGTGGGTTGAGCTTAAACAGTTTTTAAGTTTTGAATTTTTGTCCGAATTTAAATAATTTTTCGGCTTTAAGGGTTTCTAAGCAGACTTTTTTAACCTCATTTTAAGTTTTCCGATGTTAATTACTGAGTCTATTGTATTTTTTGGTTTCCAGAGTAGATCTAGCTTTTTTACTTTTTTTTTCGTTTAATTTAATCTATTTTTTTCGACTTTTGAAGTTTTTTCGACCTTTTTTTTCGATATTGTATCGCATGTGGTGCGAAGTTCAGCTTCGCCTCTGTGTTATCATTTTTCATCGCGCTCCAATTCTCACTTATTGAATAAGTTCGAATCAGTGCAACATAATTATAAGAAATATCACATAGGTAAGTTTGTGCATGCTCAAATGTGATTTTTCGCCTTTTGACTTCTGATTTCTTTTGAAGTTCAGTTCTTTTCATTTGACGAAATGAAGGCGAAGTCCACTATGGAACAGCAAAAGCATTAAGATCACAAATTTGTGATCGAGTTATAATTTCGAAAGTGGATTTCATTTTGACGATTTACCAGCGGAATAACAAAATTACCTGATGATCCAGTTTCATTAAATTGTTAATTTTATCGAAAAGGTGTCAATTATTAAGTGTTCTTAAAAGTCGAAAAGCTAATAGGGCAATTCTTTATTTCTTTTTAAATTTTTTTTCGAAAGCCTGAAGTTTTTTCAAACCAGTCAATTTTTTTTCGGTTTCCTTGAGTTCATTAACACTTTTTTTCAACTTTGTTACCTATTTTTTTTTGCTTGAAGTTCATTTTTGTTCCTAGGAAAGTCTGCAATTTCTGAATGGTCAGCTGAACAAAAGAGTTGAAGTTCTGCAAAACAACTTAGCAGAAACACAGAAAAATGACAAGAAGAGAAAGGGAGGGAGCGGGGCTTCCAACACAGCTCAATTAGATGAGAAAATTATGGTACTCGAAAACGAACTGATGTCTAAAATAAAAGAAAACGAAGACCTTCATTTTACAATAGAAACTTTGCAGTCTGAACACAGAAAATTAGTATCTGAATTGACCGACAAAGTTAAGTCTTATCAGAGCAGAAACGTATTGCAGTTGACTCATGATGCGACTGAAAATTTGGAGAATAAAATGGTAATTGAAGAGTTGAAGAAAACAAACGAAGTACTGACCAAGCAGGTTGAAAGTCTGAAGTTTGCAGACAGTATGGATTCGAAATCTCGTTCAGTATCAGTCGACACAGCTGAATTAATTTCGAAGCCTATAAATGGATTCCTGTCGGCCAATGAAAATAACTTTGAAACTAGTAGTATTGCTAGTTCCTCTAAATTCAGCGATGCTGTTACTACATCGGCCGTTGCCCCTAGCGTGTCCAAAATGTCAATAAGCGAGAGGCCACAGGGAAAGAATGCGAAAGAAGTTTTTGTCTCGTTGGGTGTTTTTTCGGACCAGTTCCTCTCATCACTTTCGACTTGGCACTGTTATGAGAGAGACAGGATTGCAGCTTATGATGATTCTTCAGCTGTGAACTTGGATTTGGCAAAGTGAGTAAATTAAAATTTTAACAAATGTTTTTAGGACCTTAAGAAGCGAAGATGGTTTTGTGTTTTACAAGTTCAATACGGATATTAAAGGGGAGCAGCATGTTTCTGTGCTGCGAGTAGCGTAGAACTTTCCGAATGCAGGCATCGTAGAAAGAAGAGACCCAAAGTCGTTTAAGATGAATTTATTTGTGGTTATTGATTTTTCGTGGAAAAGAAGTCCCATACTAAAGCCTCTCCCCTTTTTGATATTGAGAAATATATTCAATGGCTCTTGAAACTTCTGATGTCAAGTCATCTCTTCCTCGCCTATGATAGTTATCGTGCATTGACAGGTATTTTGAACAATTAAGTTCGCTAAGAGCTGAATTGTGGAATGAAACTGAGATTTGTGATTATATGTTTTAGTGCACATTCGACCTTGTCATCCTCGATCAAGGACTCCGTTTCTAATTTCCGTCAGTTCACTCTCACTCTAACAAGTGATGACAACACGGCTGCAGGAGAATCTATCTCGACTCATGATCCGGATGCGAGTAGGCTCTCGTTTTCAGCTTTTCTCATGCCTTTTCTCTTGTACCTTTCGGGAGTTGTAAAAATCACAAACGAGGTGGTGAATTACTTCAAAAGTTCCGAAAATGAACGGTCATATGCGACAGATGAATTGAAAAAGAAAAACGAGCAATTGGCTTTACATTATGCTCAAATTTCTAAATGTTTTAAGCAGATGCACAATGTGTTGTCCGATTTCCCGAGTACTGCTTACCAGAATCAAAATGCAGAATTGTTCATTTTGCAGTTGAAAAATTGTTTCACTGATTTGCGGAACGAGTATAAAGCTCTATCGAAAAGTGAGTATTTGTTGAATTCAACCATTTATTGGCTTTTACCGAAGTTATTTAGGTGATACTACAGTGCTGATTTAAATTATCCGGACAAAATGAACAAAATTTGAATTTTCAAACAAGTTTTTCTCAAATTGGGTTTAGATTAGACAAGAAATGAACAGAGCAAAAGTTGTTTAGAATTTCATCAGAATTATTATGGTGCAATTTTTTCTTCGAAATTATCAACCAAAACTTTAGCCCAAAAATGGGTCATTTTGGCTTTTTTCATTTAATCAAGAATTACGCTGAAACTACTTTGTTATTTGATGAAGAATATATATCACAAGACTCCTCTTACACAGCTCAAGAAAGTTGTGGAAAGGTTAAATCTCCAAAAGTTTGAGTAAATTGTTTTAAATTTGTTTTTAAGCAAAGATTTTGGGTTTTATATAGTAAAAATACCCTTTCTTGAGTAAAAATACCCTTCTAAAATTTTTGCTCATACAGGTTTTTAGAAAGAAAGAAAGAAAGAAAGAAAGAATATATTTTTCCTTTTATAAACAATATATCAGCATAATTAAATTTTCCACATTTAAAGCAGGAACGGATAGACAACGGGACCTGTTGGTCCACTAAAAGTCTACCCTTCTATTCAAATGAAACATCTCTAATGAAACAAATCAAATTAAACAATACGAGCAAATATATTTTTATTTAAATACAAAAGCTACAGCTCGTGAAAAAAAAAATTATATCTATTTATAAATTTATGTTGACATTAACTAACTACTGAACTTAACAGTACTAAACTTAACAATACTTCCAGGGCGCTGTAATATTATATGTATAATTTTTTTTTTATTATTATTTTTTTTTAAATTTTTTTTTTCAAGTTTTTCGAAAAAAATAAGTGAGAAAAATCCAAAAAAAATCAAAAAACCTCGATATCTCGAAAACTAGAAGGATTTGGGAGGTCATTTGTTTACACTAAAAAGCTGATATATAGCTGGTAGTCCTGTAGCATGCAACCAACGGGTATGGGTTTTAATTTGTTTTTTTTTTATAAGCCAAATATATGTTTCACTAATTCATGGTTTTGTACCAGGTATATTTTAAAAGAATGGTAAATTGCCGAAATTTCTGAAAAAGAATTTTTTTGACGTGTGCAGGTATCAAATTCAGAACCCGCAGCTTATTAAAAAGTTTACAAGCGCGATATCGAATCGAGAAGCGCTCAATTTTGCGTTTACAAAATGGTTCGAACAGAAGGCTGCTATCAGAATTTCTAGTAGCTCTTTTTGCATTTTGAAAAACAAATAAATCCTTCAGAAAGCTATCATTATGAACACCAATAACTGATTTAAGAACAAATTTTAATAGCTCATAGAGATGATACTCATAAACGGTTAACAAACTATATTTTTCAAAAATATCATTACTACGATCTCGACGTTTTCTGAAAAAAATGAATTTGAGGATTTTCTTTTGTAAAACATTAAGTTGTTCCAGCTGCGAATAGCTGCAACATCCATAAATTAAAATGCCATACTGGAGAATGGGAACGACATTGCTACTGTAGTATTCGATCATTTGAGACCTCGGCACGTAGTGCCTTAGCTTTGAAACTATACCGCATTGTTTACTAAGTTTCTTTTTGACGAAATCGATATTACTTTTAAAAGAAAATTTGGAGTCTATGTAAATGCCTAAATATTTACAAACAGGTTTCGTATTTATCGAGCAAGAGTTTAACTGAAATAAATGATTGGAAGCACTTAACTTTACATTCATTTGAACTGTTTTGGATAGGTTAATCACCAATTTATTTGCATGTAGCCAGTTATTTAAAGACGTCATGTCTTTTTGAACGTCAATTATTTGACAACCTATTGATGTTAGATTCGTATCGTCTGCGAATAGCAAAACTTCCGATGTTTCGCATGCTTTAGGGAGGTCATTTATATATAATAGAAAAAGCAAGGGACCTAAAATTGAGCCTTGTGGTACACCACATTCTATTTTACTCCAGCTAGATGAAACACCATTTACTACAACTCGCTGTATGCGATTACTGAGATATGAGCTCAACCATTTTAAACAGTTACCCCTAAACGCATACATATCCAATTTGTATAGCAAGATATTATGGTCAATAGTGTCAAAAGCTTTCTTCAAGTCAAGGAAAAAACTAAAAATTTCATTCGAAGAAGGATACATTCTAATTCTTTCGGTAAGTTCAGCAAGTGCATCAATTGTGCTATGCTTATTACGAAAACCAAATTGTTTTGCATAAAAGAGAGAAAAATTCTCTAAGTAAGAATAAATACGGTTATACATAATGCGCTCATAGATTTTACTCCAAACAATTAAAAGTGAAATTGGTCTATAATTGTTCTCATCAAGTTTTGATCCTTCTTTATGAAGCGGCAGTACTTTCGCTTTACAAAGTTCTTTAGGAAACACGCCTTTTGTGAATGATAAGTTGATTAAGAAGCTTAGATATGGTGCCACGACTTTCGCTGAAGTTTTCACAATAAGGTTACTGATGTTATCATCACCGGACGAGCTTTTATTATCTAGGTAATTTAGGACTTTAAAAACTTCTGTTTCGCATGTTTTTTTCAGAAGCATGGAATATGGAACATATTCAACGTTAAACCTATCAACATTAGGAACATCATTTTGAAGTCCTTTTCCAACTGTGGTGAAAAATTAGTTAAATTTTTCAGCAACATCTCTGTCTGTTGCATTATCGTTTTCATCAATGCATGATTGCAATGGAGAAATCTTGCTGTTTTTGTTACTTTTACCACTGATATCGTTTAAAACTTTATATGTCTGCCTTGAGTCTCCTATACAGTTTTTGAATTTATTCCAATAATAATTCTTTTTAGATAATTTTATTTCTTTCTTAAACTTCTGAACGTTTGAAGCAGTTGATTATTATTCTGATTCAACTTCCATTTTTTGTGTGCATTATTTCGCTTTGTTCTAAGGTTTTTAAGTTTATTTGTGTACCAAGCGGGTTGCTTTGTGACCAAATTTTTCTTGGTTTTTAATGGTGCAAACATACTCAATACCTCTTCGAAAGATTTTGCGAACAAATTGAAAGCTGCATCTGCATCATTCATTTCAAAAATTACTATTTTATGTGAGGCTAATTTACTTTCCGCAATTTCTAAAAATTCTTCAACTTGGCTCCGACTTTTTAGGAATGATGTATCGCGAAACGGAATTTCATTATTAACAATTTGACACTTTATGACCCATTCCAAGTGTATTGGATAATGATCTGATAAATGTTCACTATTTAGTACCATTGAATGAGGTTCAGTTAAATTGTCGAAAATGAAATGATCCAAACAAGTTGAAGAGGTGGCTGTAACGCGAGTTGGTTCACGACCGTTTATCGAAAAACCATTTGAATGAATACAATTTAAATAATTTTGGCTCAGTAAGTTATCAGGTATTATATCAATGTTAAGATCACCACAAAGAATGAACGGATGATTTGCACTTTTTGAATTTTCCAAAAACTCATCAAGCCTATCAATGAATTGCATTTTGTTCGATTTTGGTGGGTTATAAATCACACATAATGAGAATTTATAGCCATTTTTTAAGATATCGACCGTTAAGCTTTCTTCTGAAAATGAATCAAGTTGATTCAGCAAGCAGCATGTGTTTCTTGCTTGGATCATTACACCACCACCTGGTGTTTCGCGATTTTTTGTAAAATACTGATTATAACCATTGATTAACCAGCTTTCACTTGGATCATTTTTTGTTAACCAAGTTTCCGTTATACAAATTATATCAGGTGGAGACTCAAGGCTTAGAATAAGTGCTTCCAATTTGTCGAAGTGGGGTTTTAAAGATCTTATATTTAAATGTAGCACCGAAACTTTGGAATTTTCAGTTTTATTAATTCAAGTACTGTTATTCTGTGAAATATTTGGTTTTTAATTAACGACATTAACATCACTAGATTGTTTACGATCCTCCTTTATCTCCTGCCTCGTGGAAAACACTTTGGAAGCAATTCATCACATCTTGAAATCTGTATTTCAAGGAACTCCCGCCTTCATAAAGTCCATCGATACGATATAGTCGCTCGTCTGCCTTCCATACATAATGGATTACACTTTCTCGGGTCCACGCAGATTTAATTCGGCAATCACTCTTCATCATTTTTATGAAATTGACACGAGCCTTTGATAAGTCTTCAAAGACGCTTATATTTTTCAAACCTTCTTTATCTGCCATCTTTTTTTTGTTTCGCAGCAAGTTGATTTTGGCGATTCTTCTGGCGAAACGAACGATAATTGGTTTGCCTCTATTTGATCGAGATGGCAATCGATGGGCTATTGAGATATCTGACGCTCGCACATTTGCACCAATATCATGAGAAATCTCCACTACCTTCGCTATTGTTGTATCAAAGTTCTCACGATTATTCTCCCCTTCCAAACACTCGGGGATTCCTAGAATTCTTAGGTTATCTCGTCGATTATATGATTCAAGTTTTTCTGCTTCAGATAAAGTCCTAAGATAGCTGACATTCGCCTGAGATGCTATTTCCATTTTGGAGGATGAGATGATTTCCTTCTTCATGTTGTTTATTGCGGACTCAACAGCGACGTTGATTGCATTCATTAGTTGCGCTTTGATTTGCTCTACAAGGCTGGGTATCAACAACTTCATTGACTCTTCAATGGTATGCTTCAGCTTCCCAGTCACATCGTCCTCTGAGTTTTCTTCGTCACATGGGCTCAGTACAATATTTGGCCGTTTTGGTGTTGGTTTTGATACTGGAGTCTGATCATGATACCTCAGTCCCGGCACATCTGTGTTTCTCTCAATTGAAATATCATTTGCATCAGTAGCATCACTAATCGAATCCATCTGCCCTCTCTGAAACTATTTAATAAGTTTATCACAAGAATTAGGCTTTTGGAGATTTAACCCTTCTAGAACTTTGTTGGGCTGTATAAGAGGCTTCGTGCGATATATATTCCTCATCA